TCAATTTGTTCTGGAATTTTTTTTTTTTTTCTTAGCTAAATCACATTCCTTTTCCCTTGCAGATTTTTTTTTTTTTCCTTGATTTCTTCTTTGACATCTTCTCTTCCCCCTTTTTTTTTTTTTCTATCAAACCTGATTTTACCCCCTGTATAAAAATTTTTTTTTTTTTTTTGTTTACTCCTACACACCCTTAGCATTTTCTGGTTTTTTTTTTTTTTAGTCTCTGGAGCCTTCGATATCTCTAGGCCACATTCTAGCTCCTATGAGCAATTTCACATCACTATGGACGTGACCTCTATTTTTTTTTTTTTGGTACTCTGGGTTTTCAATGTACAATTCTATTTCTTTTTTTTTTTTTGATGCTGTGGGGGCACCACCTCCTTGAGGACCAAGGCACTCCAGCTGCCAGGAATATTGGCTGCTAACCTCACACAGCTGATTTTTTTTTTTTTATTGCTCTCTGCCAAAGAGAACTTCCTAGTCCAATTTTTTTTTTTTTCTCCAGAGGTAGCTCTTAACTAATGTCTGTCCAGACCCTTTGCCACAATGTTAGACAACTGTGTGAACGGCTATCAGAGCTTTTTTTTTTTTTTAGGGATCTGGGTAGCCCTCTCTTGTACATGCCCCTTTTTTTTTTTTTTCCCTTTGCCCAGTCCTGCTTCCTTCACTCTCTCTTTTTTTTTTTTTCTGAGAGCACTCCTAATAACTCCCTGAATGCAAATTTTTTTTTTTTTGTCAATTTCCCAGGGAACAGTCTCAATACCCTATTTTTTTTTTTTTTTGTATGTTGTCACTGTAGTAACCTGTCTTGTAATTTTTTTTTTTTTTAATACAGTCTTTGAAGGGGTCAGAGATCAAGGTTTTGGTAGCCTCTGTACAACAGAATTCATTGAGCCAGGCCTATAACCTTTTTTTTTTTTTTTCTTACCTCTTGACCTTGAGTTAAGTGATGCATCTTTTTTTTTTTTTGGCTTACTTTGGTTCAAATGGATAATAACCTATATTTTTTTTTTTTTGGGGAGAAAAATGAACAGATGGTTAAACATCCCTTTTTTTTTTTTTTATACTGTGAAAATACTTAAATTCTGTAGTGAAGTTTTTTTTTTTTTTATCTCCATAAACTGAGATTCTACAGAGTCCACTTTTTTTTTTTTTTTTTTGAAAATACCCTTTGCTTCACTTTCTGTGGATTTTTTTTTTTTTTAATTCCTCCGGGGACTCAGCCACACCCCAAATCTTTTTTTTTTTTTTTGAGTTTGACACAGATTCATAAGAATTTGGCAAGTTTTTTTTTTTTTTTTTCTACCAAATTAAATCCAAATGTTGCCTAGGTTGGATGAGAGTTCAGTCAAGAGAAGGAGGCCCAGGCCAATGGACTGTTTTTTTTTTTTTTTCGAAACCCAAATGAGTTTGGCTTGGCCCTAAGTTTTTTTTTTTTTCTTTGAACCATAGCATATGATATAAGCCCTGGTCTTTTTTTTTTTTTTTTTTACTTTTTTTTTTTTTTTGGTTGTTATTTCTTTTTTTTTTTTTCCCTGCACTCTACAGGACACTATGCTCATTCCAATTTTTTTTTTTTTTCCTAGGAAACTGCAGGCACCTGTAGGGTCAAAGTTTTTTTTTTTTTCTGGTTCTTATCACCTGTTTCTTCAATTCCCTCTAGAACAAGAGCAAAGCTTGACAAGATGGGGTGGGGTAGTAGTGTGTGTTTTTTTTTTTTTAACTACTAATTCAGGCTCCTGTGAAGAACCCGATTTTTTTTTTTTTTTGTGTGGCGGCTCTGATTGAATTCTCCCTCTTGATTTTTTTTTTTTTGGCCTCCTGCTTCCTGGAATAGTGGCTATGACTATTTTTTTTTTTTTTGGATACATTTATAAAACAGAGAAAGTTAGATTTTTTTTTTTTTTTTAAATTTTCTATCACAACTTCTCCTTAAATAATTATCCTTTTTTTTAACTTTTGTATTAGGTTTGGGGCACATATGCAGGTTTTTTTTTTTTTTTAACTCGTGTCACAGGAGTTTTTTTGTACAGACTCTTTTTTTTTTTTTTAAGCATTGTACTCAATCGTTATTGGGTACAGTTCTACTCCTCTCCCTCCACCCACCCTCCCCACTCAAGCAGGCCCCAATTTTTTTTTTTTTTTTCTTGTTTTCATGAGTTCTCATCATGAATTTAGTTTTTTTTTTTTTGTGAGAACATGCAGTATTTGGTTTTCTTTTGCTGTTTTTTTTTTTTTAGGAATAATAGCCTCCAGCACCATCCATGTTCCTTTTTTTTTTTTTTTCTCATTCTTAAATAATTATCCTTTTCCTTTCCTTTTTTTTTTTTTTCTTTTCCCCCTTCTCCTTTTCCTCTACCTCCTCTTTTTTTTTTTTTTCTTTTCCTTTCCTACCTCTTCCTCTCCTCCTCTCTTTTTTTTTTTTTTTCCTCTTTTTTTCTCCCTAAGAACCTTCACACTTTTTTTTTTTTTTAGGTCTCATCGATTGCTCCTCAAAAATCCCTCATTTTTTTTTTTTTTCATCCCTGGGAAGACTTTCCCAAGCTGCATCACCTTTTTTTTTTTTTCACCCCACACAATCATCTTCACCTCAACCCTCGCTTTTTTTTTTTTTCTCCCATCACCACTAGGACTCCTCTCTCAGAGGTTTTTTTTTTTTTTGCCCTAGCTGCCTAGATAAACCAATGTGTTAATATTTTTTTTTTTTTCCATGATAAAACCAATATTAAAATATAGTATGTTTTTTTTTTTTTTTTGTCACTCCCAGGCCATATAACATTGGGTAAGACGTTTAGACTTTTTAAACTTCCATTTCTTCACCTCTAAAATACAGCTATTTTTTTTTTTTTATACAGGGTCTCAGTTTACATTTAGCTTCCCCTGTTTTTTTTTTTTTGATCTTTCAAAATAAGATTAAATGCCCCTTGGCTTTTTTTTTTTTTTATTCACTCAATTCACTTGTCATAAAACTTGTCAGTTTTTTTTTTTTTCCCAGTATAATTCCTGATTCTTATTACGAATGCCTGAGGGCAAGATGTATGGTTGATCCCCCTTGAAGCCCAGTGGCTAACTTTTTTTTTTTTTCGTAGCTGGTACTAAAATAAGGGCATTAAATGAATTTTTTTTTTTTTGAAGCATTTATAAATAGTGGAAATTGTTTCTCCCTTTTTTTTTTTTTATATTGGACCAGTGTCCTTTTTAGATCATGCCTTTTTTTTTTTTTTTACCATAATGGAAATATCAGGTGCAGGAAGATGTTTTTTTTTTTTTTTAATAGCTCCATGTAGGTGGCCTCTTGCTCTCTCCTTTTTTTTTTTTTGCTCTGGGCCCGTGCACCTGAAGGGAGATATCTGTTTTTTTTTTTTTTTCCTGCTTCATTTCAGTGACACCAGTTTGGCTCTTTTTTTTTTTTTAAGCTGGGATCAAATGTTCCCCAAGTGCAGAGAGTTAAGGAGAGATGTCTCATTCTCTCCCTTGACCTCCTCCCTTATTCCTTTTTTTTTTTTTTTTACATAAAACTTTAAACGAGATTCCCAGAGAATTTTTTTTTTTTTTGGTCAGGCCAGCAGCCTCCCCAACTGTGGGCTCTTTTTTTTTTTTTAAAAGGTCAAAATGGGGATAGAAAGTTCTTGATGTTTTTTTTTTTTTCTTACATTAATGGGAGAAGAGATAAAGAGGGAAATTTTTTTTTTTTTGGATGTGTGAGACTGCATGTTCACAGGGAAAAGTAATGTTGTGCAGAAAGCCTGCCACTGCTAATGAATCTGGTAAGAGGATTTTTTTTTTTTTGATTATTTCTGTTATGCCTTTTGGGAGACAATTTTTTTTTTTTTTTTCATTTTTACATCTGGCAGGTGCTGACAGTCCTTGTTTTTTTTTTTTTTTTTAAGGGTGTTTCCATAGTGGAAACATACATGGAAAAACGGAGCTGGGCTGGAGCACAGGGCAGGTGCACTTAGGGTCCTTTTTTTTTTTTTTGGGTTTTCTATACTCAGGGCTTCTCTCTCATAATTTTTTTTTTTTTGTGTGCAGGTATCACCTGGCTCTCTTCACATTGTTTTTTTTTTTTTTGGGCTTGGAGGGTCAAAGCAAATATGCTAATACTCATATTGCTTGCTGTGCTGTGAGTAAAGTCCATTGTCTCTGACCCAGTTTTTTTTTTTTTTCTGCCAGCATCCATGAATCCGTCAGGTTATCTTTTTTTTTTTTTTTTAGTATAAAGTTTCAAACCCTTCACAGTTCTCGACCAAGCTCTGTTCTCTCTGCCTAAGGGCAGCCTGTGAAAGAATTCTGTTTTTTTTTTTTTATGTGAACCCTATCTCCTATGAGAAAAGGAGAAGTTTTTTTTTTTTTAAAGAGCACATACTTATTGAATGTCCCCTGTTTATTTTTTTTTTTTTGGCTGAACTGAGCTTCTCATACATTATCTCATTTTTTTTTTTTTTTTCCCTAGGAGTAGATATCGTCCTACCTCTTTCATATTTTTTTTTTTTTAGGCTCAATAAAGTGAAGTGACTCGCCAAGATCATTTTTTTTTTTTTAGGTTTAAACCTAAGCCCGTCTGTTAAGAGAGTTTTTTTTTTTTTTTTTACATCATTCTAGGAAGTCCTTTATTTTCTGTGTTTTTTTTTTTTTAATCCAAGATAACAGGAGAGATGCTAACAAGTCTTTTTTTTTTTTTTTAACCACTCTGTTATCTGTTCTGTGATTTTTCCCTTTTTTTTTTTTTGACGTATTCCTCAGCTTAATGAGCACGTCTTCATTTTTTTTTTTTTTTGCCTTTCCTTTTCTAGGATCCCAGCCTCCAGCCTTTTTTTTTTTTTTTGCTTAGCCTTGGACTTCTTGACGCTTGCTATTTTTTTTTTTTTTTTTTTTTTTTTTTGGAGGGGGGTCTATTCAGAAAGTTTTTTTTTTTTTTTTTTCCTTTCTCTGATATCACCATAGAATGAATAACACTTTTTTTTTTTTTCAGTTCTAAAGAATTCTTGTTTGGTTTTCAGATGTGACTGGAGTGATTTGCACCCGGATGCCTAGACTCGCCATCTGCTCATTTTTTTTTTTTTAAGCCCTCTCATGCATTCCCCTGCTGCATACCAGTTTTTTTTTTTTTCAGCTGCTGTCTGCAGGACTTCACATCTACGCCATTTTTTTTTTTTTCTGTGCTTCAAGAAATCACAAAAACATATGACTGTTTTTTTTTTTTTGCCTAAATGCGGCATAAGTTGACCTTGCTTTCTATTTTTTTTTTTTTGAAATGCTTTTTTGTGTGTGTCATGTCTGTTTGTTTTTTTTTTTTTTGAGGAAAGCATTAGGCAGATGGAATGTACATGCGAGGATGAGGAGATAGAAAACAAGTAGCCCTTTCCATCAAGATAAAGATTTTTTTTTTTTTGCTGGCTCTTGAATGTCACTCCTGATTTCTCTTTTTTTTTTTTTTTTCCACCAGCCTACTGAGATTGTGTGGGAGCTTTCATTTTTTTTTTTTTTCACTAATGGAAATAAATTTTGTGCATAATCTGATTTTTTTTTTTTTTTTACAGAATAGACTTAGTTTAGCAATAAGCTAATTTTTTTTTTTTTCCTCTAATTCTCTGGGGAAAAAATTTGCTACTCCTTTTTTTTTTTTTGCAACATCATCAAAGTACTCACAACAAGAATGAATTTTTTTTTTTTTCTTATTAGCACTGCCTAGACTCAGTGTAAGCAGATTTTTTTTTTTTTAGGAAAGCATGATGGGACATTCTTATGGTTTAAATTTTTTTTTTTTTCAAAACTCACATTGAAATTTAGACTCCAATGTAGTTTTTTTTTTTTTTGGGGGCTTTAAGAGGTGATTGGGCCATGAGGATTTTTTTTTTTTTTATGAATTAATCCATTCATGAATTAATGGGTTAGTTTTTTTTTTTTTTAATGGGTTATCATGGGAGTGGGACTGGTGGCTTTTTTTTTTTTTTTTAGAGACCTGAGCTAGCACTCAGCCCCCTTGCCATGTAATGTCCAGCACCATCTCAGGACTCTGCAGGGTCCCCCACCCAGTTTTTTTTTTTTTTCTAGATGTGGTCCCCTGATCTTGGACTTAGCCTCTTTTTTTTTTTTTAATAAATTTCTTTTCTTCATAAATTGCCCAGTTTTTTTTTTTTTTTTACAGGCAATAGAAAATAGACTAGGACACACATAGACCTTGCTTTATGGAGTTCATAACCAATTTGTAGAGAAAGACAATGATTTTTTTTTTTTTAATAACCTACACCAGATGGTAGGTGAAAAGACACTTTTTTTTTTTTTAAAGTGTTACCGAAGTTGTGAAAAAGGTATCATTTTTTTTTTTTTTTCCAAGACTCTAAATGGAGGAGTTATCTTCAGACCCCAAACCTAATTCACTCCCACACAGGTTCAAAATGCCTCTTGCTGCCTTTTTTTTTTTTTTTCTATGCCTAAAAGCATCACCTTACTTTAAGTCTTTTTTTTTTTTTATTTAAATTGTTAAAACTTTTTACCTGTCTCCTTTTTTTTTTTTTTTTCCCACTCCAACTCATGTGGAGCACAAATTAAACTTTTTTTTTTTTTACTTTGATCCTTTTCCTTCCCTATTCAAATACTTTTTTTTTTTTTTTTTTCCAATTGAAAGGAAGTCAAAACTTGAGGATTTTTTTTTTTTTTTGATCCAGGTTTGTGCTGACCTGGGCTTGGTCCTATTTTTTTTTTTTTGGGAAAAAGAAAGAAAAACACGAGCAAGTCGAGCTTTTTTTTTTTTTTGGAATACAGGAGCTGAGAGAAGGTAGCATTACATTTTTTTTTTTTTACTGGAAGATGAGCAAAAGGCAAAAATAGAGAAGTGCACATTTAGAAGATGTGTTGAGGTGAAAAAACTCAGGGCTGTTGCTTTTTTTTTTTTTACTGAGTATGCACTTCGAGGGACATAGGAGGGGCTTTTTTTTTTTTTGCTGAGAAAATAAATAAAGGAATGAATGAATAAATTTTTTTTTTTTTTTATGTCCATCGTTTCACTTTATAACAACCTTAGTTTTTTTTTTTTTTTATTATCACAATTTTACTGATATCTAAACCAAGTTTTTTTTTTTTTACACAATTCTCCCAATATCCCCCAGTAAATGAGATTTTTTTTTTTTTTGTGAAGCCAGGTCAGCTCGATGTCGCAGTCCATCTAGCACGTTGCCCTCTAGAATCATCTAATTGTGCAGCACTTGGAGATTTTTTTTTTTTTGACACACTTGCAAAAGGTGATTGTTTATCATCAATTTTTTTTTTTTTACTAGAGGAATGTTGCAGAGGACAAAAAAGTAGACATTCTGGACTTCAGCAATGGGAAGTTTTGGAGATAGAGGAAGCGGATTTTTTTTTTTTTACAGAAGAGAAGACCTAACAGAAGAAGAACCATGTTTTTTTTTTTTTAAGGAGATTTGTCAGCAAATACGTGATTAATAGCTTTTTTTTTTTTTGAAATAGTCTTTTTTTTTTCTTTTTTTTTTTTGATTTTTTTTTTTTTTCTGTTGCCCAGGCTAGAGTGCAGTGGCCGGATCTTTTTTTTTTTTTAAATCCGCCTCCCGGGTTTACGCCATTCTCCTGCTTTTTTTTTTTTTGTAGCTGGGACTACAGGCGCCCGCCACCTCGCCCTTTTTTTTTTTTTTATTTTTTTTTTTTTTTTTTAGTAGAGACGGGGTTTTTTTTTTTTTTCCAGGATGGTCTCGATATCCTGACCTCGTGATCCTTTTTTTTTTTTTTCCCAAAGTGCTGACAGGAGCAGTGAGGCAGCCTTTTTTTTTTTTTTGGAAAGAGCCTGGACCCCAGCAGATAGGCTGTGTTAGAACCATCCTTCTGTTTGAAGCTTGAGCACAGAGGGGAGAAAAAATTTTTTTTTTTTTTCACTTACTGCGAGGGACATGGTGGACACTCCTATTTTTTTTTTTTTTAACAAGAGAAAAGCGTAACGAATTTATTTTAAATTTTTTTTTTTTTTCAGGAGGCTTCAGAAATAAAAAAAATCCAAAGATTTTTTTTTTTTTTTGTATTTTTATGGTAAATCTGATGAAAGAAGTGTTTTTTTTTTTTTTTGGACAACAGAAAGGGGCAGGGCCTAATGGTAATTTTTTTTTTTTTGGGGGGCGTGTTACTCAGAGAGGCCTATTTGTTCTTTTTTTTTTTTTCCTCTCTGTGCAGCATTTCTTTCCTCCGGGTATGTTTTTTTTTTTTTCTCACATGAGGGTCTTGTGATCTACTTGCAGGAATTTTTTTTTTTTTAATTCCTTTATATTTGGCTCTTGCACAGAAATGTTTTTTTTTTTTTTAAATGTGGTGGAAGGTCAGAGCGAGCTTGCTTCCTTTTTTTTTTTTTTCTCCTTCAGCTCAAGAGGGCTCTGGGGTAGTGTTTTTTTTTTTTTTACAAGCAAGCTGCCTAAATGACTTGAAATGTATTTTTTTTTTTTTTTACATGGTGATAATATTCATTTGGCAGGATTAAATTTTTTTTTTTTTTCATATAGCAAATAACATCTAACATTTACAAGGCACCAGGCAACGGTCTAAGCACTCAACACATACTATTTCGTTTAATCCATTTTTTTTTTTTTGGTAGATTTTGTTGGAGTCAGCTTGTTTGCAGCTTTTTTTTTTTTTTTTCAGAGAGTTTAAGTAATTTACTTAACGTCACACAGCTTGTGAGTAGCAGGGCTGGAATTTAAACCCAACCATCTGCTCCTTTTTTTTTTTTTCTTCACCATCATGCTATGCTAAATTGTGTTAAACTTTTTTTTTTTTTATATTATTGCCTTTCCTCCCAGGAACATGTGAGCTTTTTTTTTTTTTTAAAAGTAGGTAGATTATAAATATTTAAACCAGATTTTTTTTTTTTTCAGTCCATAGTCCCCAAATCTGGCCTACCACCTGTTTTTTTTTTTTTCCTGCAAGCTAAGAATTGTTTTCACATTTCTTAATGATTTAGAAAAATTAAAAAATAATATTTTGAGGCACATGAAAATTATTTTTTTTTTTTTATTTTAGTGTCCATAAATAAAGTTTTATTGAAACTTTTTTTTTTTTTTTTTACATATTATTTATGCCATTTTTCAAGAGCATTTTTTTTTTTTTGTCAGGGGGACTACAAAGTCTAAAATATTTAATATTTTTTTTTTTTTAGAAAAACTTTGCCAACCTCCAGCTCTAACCAAATTTTTTTTTTTTTTAATGGAAGAGAAGCGATTTAAGGGCTTGAATTTTTTTTTTTTTTTTTCACCCTTCCTGGCGCCCCATCCTCTCATATTCTCCATGGGCTGCACGCACACCTGCCCTTCATTAGAGAATGGTCACGGGTTTTTTTTTTTTTCCTGACAGAGTGGTTTGTTGCGTTTCTTGGGTGGTTTTTTTTTTTTTGAGGAGGCTTGCTGGGTAGGGTGAAGGTGAGACTTTTTTTTTTTTTTTAAATTACAGCCAGATGAGTATATCCCTGTTTCATTTTTTTTTTTTTAACTTTTAAGCATGGAAGTGCAGGAGCTCAGCACTTTTTTTTTTTTTCAATGGCCAAGTCACATCACAGGTGTCTTCTCTCTTTTTTTTTTTTTTGATTGGCAAAGCAACCAGCTCAGCCCCCTTCCCTTTTTTTTTTTTTTCAGGCTTACAGTGACGAATTCACGGGGAAGTGGTTTTTTTTTTTTTGCTTTTGCACAAAGCCAGGAGCCAGTCACTAGGGTTTTTTTTTTTTTTTTGTCAGCGACCTTCCAGCCTGTTGGTGGCAAGTCAACTGCTCTCCTTCTGCCTTACTTAGCATAATTAAACTGAAGTAATTTTTTTTTTTTTAGTCAGTGTGTTCAGGCATCCAGCCTATAAGATATTAAGTAAGCAACAGAATGACAACAGCACGGATGTGTAGGTTTGTTTTTTTTTTTTTTTTATTTTCTAAAATTGTGGCAAAATATATATAACCTTTTTTTTTTTTTTTTAACCATCTTTAAGTGTAGCACTAAGTACATTCACAGTGTTGTGAAACCATCCTTCTCCAGAACTATTTCATCTCGCAAATTTTTTTTTTTTTCAATT